CTCCTGACTGAATCTTCTCTCTAACAAAGTGACAGTCAATTTCTATATGTTTGGTCCTCTCATGAAAGACTAGGTTAGAGGATATATGCAATGTTGCTTGATTGTCATAAATGAGCTTCATGGGTTGCTGTTCACAAAGATGTAGTTCCTTAAGCAATTATTTTAGCAAGATGAGCTCACAGGTTGCATTTTTCATTGCCCGATATTCTGCCTCCGCACTTGACCTGGCGACTACGGTTTGCTTCTTGCTCTTCCAAGAGATCAAGTTTCCTTCGAGGAGAACACAATACCCCGAGGTGGATCGTCTGTCTGAAGGAAAACCTGCCCAGTCAGCATGTGAATAGCTAGACACCTTTGCATTTCCTTTATTTGCGTATAATAAACCTCTTCATGGTGCTCTTTTGATATATCGAAAAATCCTGATAACTGTATCCCAATGAGAGTCACAAGGAGAGTCAAGGAATTGACTTGCCACACTAACTACAAAAGAGATGTCTAATCTTGTCACAGTAAAATAGTTTAACTTTTCAACTAGCCGGCGATAACGACCAGGGTCTACCAATGGCTCCCCCAGTCCAGTTAACAGCTTAACATTAGGATCCATAGGTGTATCAATAGGTTTACATCCCAATATACCAGTTTCATCTAGGATATCCAGTGCATACTTCCTATGACAAATGGAAATGCCCTGCTTAGACTGTGCCACTTTGATCCCTAAGAAATATCGAAGTCCTTCAAGATCTTTGGTCTGAAACTGATTGAATAAGTATTTCTTTAACTGATCAATCCCACTTTGATTGCTACCAGTAATAATGATGTCATCAACATAGACCAGGAGATAAATGCACTGGCCAGAAGAGTTATGCCTATAGAAGACAGAATGATCGGCTTTACTTCTGGTTAGGCCAAAGGATTGAATAGTAGAACTAAAGCGACTAAATCAGGCTCGAGGGGATTGCTTTAGGCCATATAAAGATTTACGAAGCTTACATACCATTCCAGAATTCTCCCCCTGAGCAACAAAACCTGGTGGTTGCTCCATATATACTTCCTCTTGCAAGTCACCATGTAAGAAAGCATTTTTGATATCAAGCTATAGAAGAGGCCATTGATGAATGGCAGCAAGTGCAAGAAACAGATGCACGGAGGCCATCTTGGCAACAGGAGAAAAAGTATCCCCATAGTCAAGACCAAATATCTTAGTGTATCTCTTGGCCACTAAACGAGCTTTGAGGCGATCAACAGTGCCATCAGGACCAACTTTGATTGTGAATACCCATCGACAACCGACAACTGATTTTCCAAGAGGAGCACGAACAAGATCCCATGTGCCATTGGAGTGAAGTGCTTGCATTTCATCAATCATCGCCTGGCGTCAACCCGAATGAGATAGTGCTTCACCTATGATTTTAGGAATAGAAACAGACGAAATACTAGAAACAAAAGTAAAATGTGGTGAAGAAAGTCTATCATAACTTAAGAAACTGTAAAGTGGATGAGGGTTGCGAGTGGATCGAATACCTTTGCGAAGAGCAATGAGAGTAATCTCTGATGAAGGGTCCAAAGGGGAAAAGTTGGCAGGAGAAGGTGGTGAGTCAGTAAGGGTCAAATCCGCTGGAGGCGCAGTCTGACGATGTTGATAGGCGAGAAAAGGACGGTCCTCAGGGATGGAGGCAAGGGACCGCTCCTCGGGGATAGAGTCACCTGCAACTGGTAAAGACAAGTCAAGACAAAGAACAGGAAGAACCTGATCAACCTGTGTTATCTCAGACAAGATATAATGAAAAGGTTATTGATCAAGGAAAGTAACATCAGCCGAAACAATGTAACGCTTGAGATCAAGAGAGTAGCAATGATACCCCTTTTGAAAACGAGTATATCCAAGGAAAATACACTTGAAGGCTTTCGATGTTAATTTATCTTTTCCTAGAGTAAGATCATGAATAAAGCAGGTACATCCAAATACATGTGGAGGCAGAGGATAGGAAAGTGCTCGTGGAAATAATACACTATGTGGAACTTCATTATTGAGCACGGAAGAGGGCATGTGATTGATGAGAAAGCAAGAGGTGATTATAGCATCTGCCCAAAAATGAAGTGGAACATTTATATGAATTAGTAGGGTACATACAGTTTCAACCAGATGTCTATTTTTACGTTCGGCCACTCCATTTTGTTGTGGAGTGTGTGGATAAGTGGTTTGGTGTAACGTCCCACGTTTCTTCAAAAAATTAGAAAATTCAAAAGACACACTTTTTTGCATTATCACTGTGCAAGATTTGAATAGAAGCACCAAATTGAGTATTTATCTCAGCACAAATTTTTTGATAAATTGAAAATAATTTAGAACGATTTTTCATTAAATAAATCCAAGTACAACGAGAGAAATCATCAATAAAGGTTACAAAATATTAAAAATCCAAAACATACATTGTTCAACTCGGACCCCAAATATCAGAATGGACAATAGAAAAAGGAGCATCAGCTCTCTATTAGCAAAGGATAAGTGAGTATGCTTTCCTTGCTGATACGACTGACAATTTAAAGACTTAAGACTTGATAAAAAAAAGAACCATATATTGAAGCTTGGAGAGACTTGGATGACCTAGACGGCTGTAAATGACCTAGACTTGGAGAGAACACGCTACTGGAGAAGGTGGTGCAATCAAATAGTAGAGACCTCACGACTCAATGCCCGCTCCAATCGTCTTCCCCGTACCCGGATCCTGCATAGAAAAAGATTGTTTAAAGAAGGTAACGGTACATGAAAGAGAATGAATCAACTGGCTAACAGAGATTAAATTAAGGGGAATGCCAGGTATATAATAAACAGAGTTCAAAGTTAAAAAGGGAGTTGAGTTAGCTTCCCCAATTCCACGAGCAAGAGCCTTAGTGCCATCAGCAAGAGTGACAGAAGGTAGGTTTTTAGAATAAGAAAGTGAAGTGAAGAGATCCTTATTACCACAAAGGTAATGAGTAGCACCTGAGTCTATTTTCCAGGATCCAAGAGATGATTGAGAAAGACAAGCAACATGATTACCAGTGTCTTGAGTAGGATGCTGAGAAGAAATCTTCTTGAGAAGTGCCTCATAGTCGGCACTTGAAAGAGTTACTGATCCAGTAGAAGGTGGTATAGCATCAGTCTGAGCAAAGTTGACAGTCGGTTGCTTTAAATGAGGGTACTTCCTATAGCAGCGTTCTTCAAAATGTCCAAGATTCTGGCAATAATTGCAACGAGGCCTCTGTCTGCAGCCACCTTGTCCACGACCAAGTCTGCGACCACGTCCACTATTCCAATTGGAGCCACTGGCACGAGAAAAGAATGCAGTGGAATAAGTAGCTGACACATGTGTGGGAGCTGTTGATTTATCCTTAAGATTCAGAAGGCGTTGGAAAGTGTGTGACAGGCTAGGAGTCTCAGCGCTGGTTAGAATATTCTCACGAACATTTTCTAACTCTTCTGAAAGACCGGAGAGGGTCACGACCATAAAGAAGCGCTCCACCTGCTTCTTGTATGCAGAGGCATCTGCAGCATGAGGTAACATAGCTAAGAATTCTTGCATCAAAGAACAAATCTTACCAATATAAGTCTCCATTCGAGACTCTGGTGATTTGCGCGATTCCATTATCTGAGAAACAATGGAATAAAGCTGCTGAATGTCATTGGTATAGAGGTTTTTAGCTTCCTCCCATATGTCTTGGCAGGTCTCAAAAAGGATGAAAATGTCTATAATTGTCGGATCAATGGACTGTCAAAGGATACTTAGCAGTTGAGCATCAACCTTTTCCCATTCAGATGTCTGATCCTTGAAATATCAGAAGACTTAGTTGTGAGATGTTTTCTGTATCCCTGACCAATAAATCAGATCTTAACTGAGGTAGACCAGGTCTTGTAAGTAGCAGATCCTGTCAGTTTCAGCGTTGTAATGGATGGGGTAGTACTGGAGATGACACCAAAAGTGTTTTTGGACGCATTACCTGAGCCCTCTATCACAAAAATAAAAGAGATGACCAGATAAAAGCAAGAAACAACAACCTCACAAGAAATAGTGCAAAAATAATTAAAAAGGATATCCAAACAGTGTGTTTTTCGTCGATATCTTCTTAACAGAAGGAACCCACAACGAACGGAGACCAGATCTGAAAATGGAGAGGAAGGTGAGCTGTTTTGTCTTGGAATGGCCGGAAAAAGACGCGTGAACAGTACCTGTACGGACGCGTGAACAATGAACTGTACGGACGCGGTGAACCGTGAGCTGTACGGACGCAGTGAACAGTACGTCAATGAACAGTACCCCCCGCGTGAATAGTGCAGAACCAAGCCGAAGGGACGCACGCACGACGTTAGAGGAAGGAGAGAACACCTAAGCAGTGGGCTTAGGGCTTTAGCAAAAGCGAAAATTCCCAGAACAAAGAGCTCTGGTACGAAATTAGAATGTATGAATGTAATGTATTCAATTGTATATAGAACTGTACAAAAATCTTCTATTTAAAGAGGTTAAAAGACCTAATGGGCCAAACCCAAATAACCTACTAGAATAATAAATATACAATACTATTTAATACAATATTATTTCTAACAGCAATCATGATTGGTATGACATTTGGTATGCAATGACCATGGACTGATCCCAAAGTTTAGTCTCCTTTCAGTTTACTTAGTTCTGTTCTTGGTGGATACATAGGCAGCTTCCCTAATTCTTTAAGATACCCAAATCAATATATAAACATTATAGAATTATTGTAGGGCAGAAAAAGGATCTTATTTCTCATTATTCTCAGAATTTGCACTGTACTTTATATAGAGTAGAAATAAACTAATTGATCCGATCCTAAACATTAAATCCGTCTAATAACTCAGTAACAACAATTACCATACTTGCTACAAGAGAAAATGTGATCGGAGACATCATACGCCTGCATATTATTTGGATGAGAATGCAAAGAAAAATGTGAGATTGAAGTGATAAAATCTCAAACCAACTTTCTAAACAAGGGAATACTGGAAGCTTCAAAAACATTGTATAAATTAAAAATTCTCATGATACAAATATTTGACACACAAAACAACATACATAATGATTATCAGTAAGAATATTTCAGCTCAGTTCCTAGTTTACTTTCTTGCTCGACACCTTTTCTAAATAGTTTGTTTGTCACTGATTAACACCATTCAACTTAATTAGAGAATACTTCTCCCTTTGTGCTGGACAATCTATTTCGTACTGAAGTTGGAACTAATAGTGTGTGTGCATATTTTGCATCTCTAACAATCTTTATCAACATTTTCCCTTAAGCTATATGATCATTTTCGATGCCCAGCTGATGCCATGAGAACTGCAACAGCCGCAATAAACATAAGCAACATGCCCCCAAGCAATATATATGTTCTTCTTGATGATTTGCGATACTCCCCGAACAATAATATGCCCCAAAAGGTACTCACAAGTGGAAGTGCCTGTACATTAAACAACACATCTTCAGTTACCAAGAATTGATGATTTGAGGAACAAGCACAAGTCAAATGTTAAGACAATGGTCATGTCACACGTTATATGTTGGGATATGACTCATACTTCTCATTGAGACTATGACTCTGCGGAATGCATAGAAAGTCAAACAGTGTCATGCTAGTATTGTCGTGGGTCTCAGGTTTATTTTATTTTATCTCTTTTTAATAGTTTGGCTTGGCTCATGAATGTTGCTTAGGGTTTCTAAACCTATTTATATATGCCTTGTAAACTGAATGATTTTGTTGAGATATATAAAATCATTAATGTAATCTCACCCAACAGCTTAAGCTTTTGGATGAGATTACATTAATGGTTTTATATATCTCAACAAGTAAAGAACCAATTCAACCCAAAAGCTTAAGCCGTTAGGTGAGATTACATTAATGGTTTTATATATCTCAACACGCCCCCTCACACGAGAGCCCACTAGGCTTGAAGGGTGGACAATACATAGGCCCACCTACTATGCGAAAAAAGAAATTCCACTAGAAAGAAAGTGGGGGGCAGTGAGGATCGAACCCGGTACATCGAGGCTCTGATACCATGTAAAGAACCAATTCAACCCAAAAACTTAAGCTGTTGGGTGAGATTACATTAATGATTTTATATATCTCAACAGATTTATAACGAGACCGGTGATTGTTCGGTGCCAACATTATATAGTATAAGAACATTTTCTTACAATTGGTGTATCTGAAAATTTCTTGGCAAAGTAAATTTGAAAACATAAATTGAAAGTAAAAACTCACTTGAACAGCATCTGCTGCTGCATATCCTGCAGCTTGACCTCCCATAAATTGGAGGCCATTTCCAAAGCCACAAAGGAGACCAGCCAAAAAAGCCCAACCTCTTCCATCCCAATCTCTCAAATAAGCCTTCAGTGATGACTTGGGTAAGTTCAAGATAGGGTGGTAAAGGAAGGTGATGTTTAGAATTATGGCAATAACAAAACCAGAAACTGAAAAGTAAAAGAAGGCAGTATAAACACTCAAATGGGGAACCCCTTTCTTTAAAGTGTGCCACTGGTCATTTGTTGCCAAATTGAATGCTGGTGAGAATAGAGAGAAGCAAACTCCAGCAAAGAATGTAATAGCCAATCCAATGAAAGTGCTCTTACCAAACACCTACAAAAGGTTTAACAGAAGACGAAGCATAAAGTGAAAAGGTTTGTGAAAATTGTAGTGTATAATTCCATGAAGCATAACCACCTGCCTTAATTGATCTTCTTTTCTCAAGTTCTATAAGAAAAACTGCAGTTCCTGCTTGGGCTTTGTATGCAGGATCACTTCCATTCTCTAGATCCCTTGAATCAACTATATATGTAACAAAGAAAAGGAAAAAGGCCAGCATTTATCAAATAAAACAATCCCATGAAATTGGAAACCAAGTATTGTTACCTTCATTTGTTTCTTTCAAAGTAGATAAACTAGTATCCCTGGGAAGAGTACAAAATTTGGTTGTCAAATCAGCATTGTCAGAAACTATGAATAGAAAAGAAGACAAACTAAAATCATAATCCAAAACAAAATCAGCAGTAATCAAGAAACCAGGATAATCATTCCAACTCAAATGCTTCTGGTCCTAAATTGGAGAAAACATTTTCTTTTATCCTTAGAAAGAGTGCAGAAACAATTGCAGCATCAGAAAGTCATCACTACCCAGCAAACATATTCAGTAATCTTTGCAAATTATGCTTTAGAAAAGAAAGAAAAGAAAAGATCACCTTCTTACATTGGATTTAAAAAAAAATGATGCTCCTAATTACATTTCCAAACAGAAGCAACAAACATTTTCTTTTTATTATTTTTTATAGAAGGAGAAGCAGAAGCAGTGGGGATCATCAATTGTCAATGATCATATCTCAAAGTAGTTGTAAACAAACAACACATACTGAGCTCTATCTCTGTTAAGACTTGAATAATCGTTGAGCTTGGCCTTATTATCAGCAGAATTAGATGAATGAACAGCTGAGCCTAGACAAACTGCAATCAGAAAACAACCAACTCCTGGGAAAAGAATCTCAGCTTTATTGATTCTGTCGTCCAAAAAGTAATTCAAAGTTGTTCCTGTTACAATCAGAACAGAAACAGTGCAATGAAATTCAGTATTTGAGGACAAAAGCAAGCTGTAAATTTTTGCAGATATTGAAACCTCTCTTTGAGTGCATAGCCCCAGAATCAAAGAGGAGTATGAATGCAAAAAATACCTATAACAACAGTTATGCTTGATGAGATCACTTCAACAACTGATAATCCAACAAAAGCCCAGGCATATTGTGTGGACAGATTTCCAACACTAAGGACTACCCCACCCGCCATGGCAAACAGAACAGAAGGCAAGTTATGCTGCATCAAAAAACCATAGCACATTCATAAACCAGTGTAAACAATAGTAGTCAATAAATTATAAAGTTCAAGGCTGAGAATGCTGCATTCAAACGGATGGTTCCAAACCAAAGATAACATGGATTAAACTCGCTACATATTAGTAGAAGAAAATTACAAAACAATTTTAATATTTAATAAATGAAGAAACACCTATCAGTAGTTCCATTTTGCTTTGTTTGAACCATTATAAGGTAAAATTATTATACTTCCATAGGGTGAAAGAACCATTCATTACAAGAGATAACATATAGAGTTTGGATCTAATTGATATATTTTTATCAAGATCAGGAGTGACCTACATTAGAGTTGAATAGTAATTAGTAGATTAGGTTGCAATCAGGCAGGAAAAACATATATCAGAAGATGTCAACTATAACTAAAAAAGTTTTTCTTGCGAATTTCAAAAAGAATGTACTATGAAACCATATTGAACTCCAACAAAAAACAATGAGTATACATGACCAGTATTATAACTAATATATCATCCAACATGAGAGTTCTGTTTTGGACCCATGTTATGGACTCCTTCTCCAGCTAGGCAAAATGAACCTTATACACCTTCAGTTAAAACCTCTCTATAAATAAAGGGTTAAGCCTAAGTATGCTCTCTACAGCTCTAACCCTCATTCATTATCAATGTGACGCCCTTTGGCTTCTAGTTTTTTGCCTGTGTACAGTAATCCATGTATCCAACCGTAACCTTTGGTCCCCTGGTATCACACAAATTCTATCAAGGATGAGCCTCACATGCCTTGTTAAAGGGTACGAAGAGCCTGTTTGGATCTTCTCTTTTTTAAGCTAGAAGCTATTTATAAACTAAAGTAAAAAAAATAGAGCTTAAAAAAAAAGCTAAAAGTTATTTGATAATTACGTAAAAGTTTTACTTAAAAGTTACTTAAAAGCACATATTTCAAGAAAATTATCTCTTTCTTTATCTTTATAACTCTTCATTTTAATAAAAAACACACAATTCAAAAAAAGCAGATAAGAACTTAAAAAAAAGCTTCTCCGGGAGCTTTTAGCTTTCTTCTTCATTATAAAAAGAAGAGTTTTTCGTTAGAAGAACTTTTCCCAAAGTTTGTTTGGCCTAGCTTATTCTTATAAGTAGCTTCTAACTTAAATAAAAAGAGAGGATCCAAACAAGTCACCAATGCTCCTTGTTAAAAGTAACTTCAAAAAACATATATCATGAATCATGAATCCATGGTACCAACCTGAGAAAGCTGAGATAAGAAGTTTGGTTTGTTGTTGCCTATCTCACCTAAAGTGAAAGCAATGAGAACAGCAGCCAAGAGATTGGTGAGGGTGTAGTCAAGGTAAGTATGCTGAGGAAGACGACCTCTTCTTTCCAACATAGTCATTACAGCAGGCCATGTCCCTAAGAAGAAAAGGGACAATAGCATGCACCCTATGGCACCTCCTTTGCTCTCCACCAGATACATTTTCAAACTCACTCTACACAAAAATGATCGACTATTGCTCACTATTTATATATGAAGAAATCAAGGAAGATATACCATATTACAAGAACCCTGAAAAAGCATTGTCCTATACTTTAGGATTATATGTACATGAGAATCAAAAGTACCACGACGTGAATACAGAGTCAACCCATCAGAATATACTAGAATAATATACTTTATTCGATGTTGCCTCCCTTGCTCTCTCTACCAGATAGATACCTTCAGTTCACTACACAAAATTCTGCTACGTATGTGAAGAAATCAAGAACTTTTTATGTGAGGATCAAAATTTCAAAGACTGTGAATAGATAGTCAACTCAAATATATATTTTATTATAATATATTTGAAAAAGCATGTGAAGGGATCATGACAGTCGTTTAAATTTAGTTTTATTTATATTAAAGTAAGCATCTATTTTTGATATTCTAAGGGATAGTCTTTGAATAATTAGTGCCGTCAAGATTACTCTTTGTTATAATAAATACATTGAAATGGTCACTAAAAAGGGACCATGATCCATGCCGTGGCTCAGGGCATCTTCAATTGTCACGAAGGGTTTAATATATCTCATGTTGTAGGAGAAAAAATTATTTCTTACATGTATACATACATATAAGTGTATGGAACCCATATAGAAAAAAGTGAAAAGAAGATAGAGAAAAAAAATTAACCTCACATTTTTATGTATGCGTAGAAAATAATTTTATCTCCTACAATATGCCTTGTTATGAATTATTGTCACAACCCTACTATGTATTTTTTATTGAGTTTTCAATCTCACCAAATGTAACACGTTTATTTTCATAATGCTCAATAATATGGTCCTTAGATGTTAATTTAAGATTATAATTAATTTAAGATTTTATAATTAAATTAAATTAACATATATTTTTTTTTGTTGGAAACATGAAAAAGCACTAAAACACACACCACCTAACAGATCTACCCACATCTCTCACCGTTAGGCTAAGGGTGTGCTAAGAACCATTTTGTTCCTTTTCACTGTTTCTGGAAAGAAATAATTCTTTTTTATTTCTGTGCCTTGGAACAGTTTCTGAGAAAAAAATGTATTTGATAACATGTTTTATTTTTATTCCGAAAATGAGAATTGTGTTTGATAACACAACAAATAATATAATAAAAATAATTTCTATTAAGTATAAAAAATTTCGGATCATCACTTTCTTTTTCATACGGTGTGGTGGTGGTGACGTGGTGATGGTAATAGTAGCGATGACGTGGTGATGGTAGCGGATGGCATGGTGGTGGTAATGGTGGCGATGACGTGTTGATGGTAGTGGTGGTGGTGATGGCATGGCGGTGGCGATGACAGCAGCGCCTGCGATGATGGTGGTAGTGGTTGGTGACAGTAGTCGTAGTGGCAGACTGGCGGCGATGGTGGCGATGGCATAGTGGTGGTATGGTGGAGGTGGTGGAGGTGACGACAGTGGCTACGAATCTGCGATGATGGTGGTGGTGGTGGTGGTGGTTGGTGGTGGTAGTGTTGGTGGAGGTGGTGGTGGTGGTGATGGTTGCGACGATCATGGTGGTGGTTGGTAACGGTGGTTGCGGCAACAATGGCATGGTGGTGGTGGTGGTGATGACGATAGTGGATGCGGCAATGGTAGTGGTAGTGGCTATGGCGGCAGTAGCTACGATGATAGTGGTGGTGGTTGGTGATGATGGTGGTGACAGTGATGGTAGTGATGGTGGCGGTGATGGTGGCATGGTGATAGTGATGGTGGCGATAAGTGAAGGTCAAGGTGATGGTGGCGGTGACATCGTGATGGTGGTGACAACGGCAACGACGATGGTGGCGGTGGTTGTGTCAGGATGATGGTGGTAGTGATAATGATGGTAGTGGTAGAGTGTTATTGAGAAAGACAAGTGTTTCTCATTTTGTGCCCGAAAACACAAAAACAGAAATTTTTTGATTCTTTTTTTTTTTGTTCTCCAACACAAAAATTAAACTGATTCATCTGGGAAAAAAAAATAAACCGATTTACCAAACGAGTTTTCTATCCATTTCTATTCACGGAAACAAAAATTTAAAAAAAAAAACTCATTCTGGAAAGGTTGTCATGCACACCCTAACTCTATTGGCTTATTAGACCCTTTCTATGTATTTTCCTTGACTTTACCAATTATCACAAGTTCATAACCCTTGAGGGGCTATTTGGTACGAAGAGTTTTTTAGAAATCCTGAGAAAGTGGGGTGGGATAAAAAAAATTTCAATGTTTGATATGAGGAAACTTAAAATATTCTTGAAAAACTTTTTTTTGTCCATCGTTTCAGTTTTAACTATAGAATTCGAAACGAAAATATCTTCTGATACATGGTATTTTTATTTTTCCATAGCATCAATATAATTAACCCAACATTCCCGAAAAAAATTTAGACCTACCAAATACCTTTTCGTAATTTACTCGGGAAAAAAAAATTCACCATATTCTCGGAAATCTTTTTTTCCTATAAAAAAAAGGATAAAATATTGTAACAACCAATTAGTGTTACTACCAATGTTACAACTAATCAATTTCCCCATTAGATAGATTATGTTGATGAAACGGTTATTTTTATTTCCATCTTTATATGGTTATGATTCCTCATATTTAATACTTTATATTTATTTCTATCTTTGTATGGTTATGATTCCTCATATTTAATGCTCCGATCCCCGTAATACATGTTACCGTGCCTATTATCCAAAGAGGAACCCTTCCAGTAGTATCGGCCATTCATCCCACTTTCCTCCCCATTTGATCAGGTAGTCATGCTAGAGACATAAACAGTCGTAGATAATTATGAAATGATATCCTTCCGCATGGGATAAGGTAATTCCTAATATATATTTACTACTCCCCTTTCTTCTATTAATTGAAGAAGTAATTTGAAAATATAACAGCAAGTACAAAAATGAGTAATAATCCCCAGTAGAGACCAATACGATTTAATTCAACATTTTGTTTGTTTGGGTTTGATTGTGTCATAGCTCTAAAAATTTTATTAGGTTTATGGTTGGATGAACTGCATTGCTGATATTGATCCCAAAAAAGAAACGGTGGGTATCGCTAGTCCGTGAACAACCAACCATCGTACTGTAAAAATGGGATAGGTCCTATCTATGGTCATTGGAGTCTCTTAAAAAGATCTACTAAAATTATCGAGTTGTTCTAAAGGATCAAAACGGCCAATGGAATTCCTTGTCGGCTTTCTGTAAAATACATCGTAAGCTAAACAATAACCAACCCGCAATGAATATAGGGAATCATAAACATACAAAGATAGAAATAAATATAACCGTTGGATCAACATAATTGATCTAACGGTAAAATTGATTGGTAATAACATTAATAGTAACCCTGATTGATTGTTATAATATCTTTTTCCTATAAATAAAATATCTCCTCTACCAAAACATCCCTAAGTTCGTTGTTCCTTGAGCATGACGTAATAACGTATAACCAACAATCCTGCTTTTTTGTTTGACGAAACTTCTTAGATTCCTTAAATTATTGAGTAAGGCCACAACTTTGGACCCACACCTACTTCCTGATCGCACCTATTTCATCCTTTTGCGGTGTTTTTCATGCCCATTTGTCTAAAATGCTGACTTCGAATATTTATACATTTAACTTCTGGGATAGTGATGTCTTCATAAGAGACAAACGTTTGGTTTTATTATTAATGTCAGTTTATAAGTTACTAAAAAAATAAGAAAAGTGTCATAATATGATAAGGATTTAAAATTTATAATATAATATGCATTAAATAAAATTCTAATAATGTTTTAATTAATTACTTTTAAATTTATGAAACTTCATGAACCTAATGTACGTGATAATAACTTTGACTCCAAAGCTTCTAAAGACGAGATAGATAAAAGAGTGCGAAATGTAGAAGAAAAACTAAAATTTGCTTCTGGTATAGTTATTACTTATTGGTGTGGTAATGGAAATTGGAAATTGCTTCTTGCATATTTATTGCGGTGATGAGTAGTATATTAACCTTTATCATTCTCTCCCTCCTCCTCACAGCAGTATAGGAACGTAAAGGGTGGTCCTATTGAGTATTGACTCGCCAAATTTGATGCGTTTTTATTAACCCGCCGATTCATCATAACTTAGTCCTACATAAATATGAGTTATAGCTAGTGAGTTGGAGGTGTTAAAAGATTAAAAAGTTATAGTTATTAAGCCAGCCATTAGAATAGTCTAACGGTGAGGGATTTGAAATATGTGAACATATCACTTGAAGTTGGCTTTGGGAACTTTCCCTCATCTCGACACTAAAGTACTTTATATGAATATCGAGCAAGTGACCATGGCTATACGTATTGTATTGCGTCACGTAACGTTCCAAATTGTGTTTAGGCAGATTCTTCACATTTGGTCTACCAACATCACGTAAGATTTGTGTGTCGCGTTATTCCTGCGTTCTCATTGGGAAGAGCTGCAAGTTATCTGTGTCATTGCTTATGTATGAATAAATCTTAGTTACATTTACTGTACTTAGATTCAGGACATCTCGTTAATAAAAGTATTACACGTAGGAAAAAAGAGAAAATTTGACAAAAGAGAAAAAAATTTGACTGACATATAATATTTTTATTGGTGAGATACACTAAATTTTTGATGTAATAATACACCACAAATTTATTCCATACGTGGCATATGACTCCCTGTAATAAATTATAATTGTACTCGAAACTTTTAAGCATAAGAAAAGAAATATCTATAGCAGTAAAAGGTATAGGAAGAAAAGCAATATCATTTTACTTTACTTTTTTTAAAGAATTGTGGGACCTACAAGATCATAATATCTTTTATTTACTTTTAGTAGGATGTTTTTATGATACCTAGAAAAATGAGAATGAATTTTCAAAAATACCATATTTGTTATTATTTTAAAAAAAAATTATCTAAGAAACTTAAATATCCGATAATCAATTTTGTGTGTAATTTGTGAAAAAAATTTACTATTAACAAAATCACCCCGATTGATGGGGAAATAGAAAAAAGGGATAGCAAAAAAGTGACAAAGATAATACTGTGTAATCCTTATCTGATTGAAAAAGAAATGAAAATAGGAGTATATATATAATATCACATTAAATTCTCAATAATATTTTATAATCAATTAAACATAAATTTAGTCAATTTCATCCAATATTTACAGTAAAATTTTGACATATCAAATAATTTTTTGGTTATATTACTAATAATTTTATTTTCTTATTATATTATTGATAATCATGATTCCTCAATAAAGAAAATTATCCTCGGACAAAATTAGAGGTGGCAAAGTGGACAGTCCGTCCCGACCCGCCCCACCCCGCCAAAAAATGAGCCAACCCGCCCCGCTTTTGAAAATGGACTCAAAAACTCAATCCGTCCCGTCCCGTTTGGCGGGTTAGGCGGGTTGACCCGTCAGCCCGAACCTATTTTACACTGATCCGCCTCGGTCCGTCATCAACCTGTCAAAAAATGAGCCTGCCTCACTCCGTTTAACGGGTTGGCCCGCCGAGCTGAGCCCGTTTTGACGGACCCATAACCCCACTCAGCTCCTGGGAGTGGTCAACCAATTACACAAAGGTATGATCAATTTCAAGAGAAAGAAATAAAGGTATACCGACCATTCTTTTTCGCCGAAGATTGCTTTGCCTAGAAGTACCCACTGTGCGCGTGACTTGCCTTTTTGAGTATGATTCGTTTTGGGATCTCTGCTCTTCGCGGCTTCGTTTCCCTTTTTTCATAATTTTTTTTTATTGCACTGCTCGGCGATGCAGGACAGTTCTTCCCCTCATCAAACCCTTCTTGCGTAGAGGTTCATTTTTTTCGTGACTGTAGCTGTTAGTCGGTTGCTTATTTACCATGATTGGGTGGAAATCAAAATTTACCGATTCTCCACATAAAGCGCTAATATTCTGTTCGGATATTCAGTGAATATTCACACATAAGTGATATATGCGTGCAGAGATGTTTCCGAGAGAGATATCATATGAACATAACAATAAGCGTGTAACCAAAACGTGTGTGCACTAGTGATGCAGCAATAGAGAATTAGTCAAAAAATATGTAGTTTAACCATTTATTTATGAAAGGGTTACCAAACGTGTGTGTGCTAGTGATGCAACAATAGGGAATGAGTCAAAAAGTATGAACTTGAGAGGTTTAACCCTTATTTATGAAAGGGTTACATGTGGTTGTAAAATTCTGATAAGAGTATAATTGTTTGGAATAGGATGATAGAAATATTCTTATCTCTTTAGTCTATCACAGGTTGTTATGTTATTTACTTATCTGTTATGTTGTTAGGATAGGAACCTAATATTCTAATCCATAACACAAACTATCTTGTTTTAATTTTTTTTTATCTATTACTCTATTTTAATTCTTCATGAGTTTTAAAATTTATTTTAGTTTGAAGATTTGAATTTTTCAATAGTTTGTAACCTTAAATAGCTTTATTTTGATATAAATAATGATTTGTATAACCTAAAATTTTAAGCTTTTTTAAAAATCGATCCAATCCAAACCAAATAAAATTGGATTAAATCAGATTTAATAAAAAAAATCCAAAATGAATGGACAATTAAATAATCAAACAAAAGAGATTACATCAAATGATTTTTACTTCAAAACCGATCCAATACAGATCACAAACACCTAACCAAAAACCGTGTTCTCTTGTTTGAGTCAAACTTCTTAGTTTCCTTGAAATATTTGGTTCTGCGTATTCTTGCTAATTGCCTCTATTTTATCGAATATTCTCTTTGGATGTTTGCAGTGTTTATCAAATAGTGATGCCCATTATTCTAATTGTTGATTAAAGGTTTAACCTCGGACAATAATTATTGACAAGAAACAAAGTTTTCATTTACTTACGAGTTTTTATTTATCAAACACAAGAATATTGTAACAAGATTATAATAATTTTCATAATAAGAAAATTAATAACTTTTTAAATTGTAAATAAGTAATTTTATCAATTTACTAATAATTAAAATTATTTATATAAATAAAAACAGTAAAGGTACGATGTAATAAATACTATATAATACAATAGGTCTCTTAGAATCCACTAATTTGATTTAGTATCTATATACATAGGCCATGGTAGAATCACATGAATATTAGAACCTGTTTACCATACACAATGTTTTGATCTTGTCGAATATTTGTCGGGGGCGTGTGTTGAGAACATTATATAAATCATTGAATTTCTATAATGTTAAAAGCTTAAGCTTTTGGAAGATATTCATCATTCTGCTCTGCCATTCAGCCCTCTGGTTTAAATTCATAATCTTTAGAGCGGGTAAAACATATTAATAAAAAATTTATATTACAACTTTTGCACAATTAAAATTGCAAATCCTCTTCACCAAATTCACCCCAATAGCCCAGTTACAACCTCTCTCAAGTGTCTAGATTCTCTTGTTAGGAAATTTCATTTTCTAATAAATGTGGGATACATATTTAATTATTAATTATATCATATTATTTAGTTATTGCTGAAATTAAATAATTAAAATAAAAGAGTCTAATTACAAGCCACGAGACAACATACATAAACCAGTGGCCAGATATAATCTGAAGCCTGCACTGATCTGTTCCAACAGATAAATGACCTACAATGACAATCAAATATTTCAGCCCTAAATGTATGTGTAAAGAACAGAGCATTTTTTCAACAATTGCAGCCAAAAATTAATGATTTTGACCCCCGGGTCTTTATTTTTGTTTTTTTGGTTTTGGTTTTGAAGATGATACTAGATGCAAGGCAATTTGACTGCACATGAATTAGCAGTTTCATTGAGCCAAGACAGTTTCTAGGCAGAAAACAGAACCATGACATTATCAACGTAATCAGATCAACTTTATTTCTAAATATTGCACGAGAAATGAGGAAGAAGTATCCATAGCAGCTATTCTCTGGTGTATTTGGTTGAACAGTAATGGATTTTCCCTTAACTATAGCTTGCCGCTTTCTTTCTTTTTGCTTTTTATGAGGATTTCTTATCCCAACTCAGTAATTTAAAGGAAATGGCACCAATATAATTAGTGCTATAGTATTGTCTTTATTTTAATTCCCTTATTTCCTTTTCGTATTTTACTACCTTGTGTTAGTTTCCTGATTGTGATTGTCGTGGCAATTCTGTTGCAACAACTTAGTGTTATATAGTGGAATAGTGGTAATGAAATGGGCATGAAGAAAATTGTCTGAACTCTCTCTTTCCCTTCTCTTTTTCTCCTTTCCCTTCACTATTTCTCAAATTCCTCGCTACATACATGATTTCTTTTCTATCTATTAATATGTGCTTCTCTCTCAAAAAAAAAAAAACCCACAATCTTGGCCCTCCCTCCCCTCCCCAAACCCAAAAAATAGGTTAGACGAATTTTCTCATACATTCAGAACAATAACGAAGACAGTAATAGGGGAATAAATGGAAATAGAATCATGGATGTAAACCGTCAATTTTGCACATGCTAAAAGGGAAAACCACCCAACAAGATCAAGCACAAACAATACAATATATCAAAATAATAGTAATGTTCATTACCTGTTCGGTGGCACCATTAAGAATTTAATTATGCATGGCATAATATTGAGGAGCCAGCTCGGTTAACCATAGGTAGTCAACTCTGGTTAAATTTTTGACATACTTCTTATTAGTTTGGACCAGTTCGTTAAATATCAGGCACTCTGGTTTTTGCTGGAATAATACAGAAGAAGGGTGGATCTGCACCACCTGACCACTTGCCAAAGCCCTGTCATGTCACTAAGCAATAAGAGAGTCTTTTTATAGAAGTAAAAGCAAAAGCAATATATGACAAAATTATATATGCAAGAGAGGATTCCTATTAGTGAGTCAAAATACTATTAAGAATTTCAAAACTAAAAGATAGTTTCTTGAATGGGGATTGAGATGATTATAGAGGGAATAGACAGCGAGCCACCCAGAGGGGCCTGCCCAAGAATTTCTAAGTTGAATTAGATACCTGTATGTTCCCTCTGGCTGCTTTACAGCTGCTTTGAGGAAAAAGGAAGCAGCAAGGCATCTCCGGTATTGAAGCATATCATCTCCACAAGAAGCAAGATTCAGACCCATTTGTTCAACATGTCCCTGAATCTGCCTGCAAAAAGTATTTTAGAAATGAGAATGCATAAATGTCTAGAGTATACTACATAAAGGATGTCTTGATATAATGCTTAAACATAATAAAATTACTTGTGAATGTCACGAGCATGTCTAAGAGAACGACTATTAACATAATTTTCCTTGCACCATTTTCTCAAAACCTTCTCACTTTTTGTTTTACCCATTTCCATTGATCTCTTCTCCAAGAAATCATTAGATGCTCGATACACATTAATCAAAGTGATGTGGTCTCCCTCTGAACTTGAGAAGCATTTCATTGCAGTTCTTGCCTGGTAAAAAATGGGAGAAACACAAATATAAATAAGTAGAATCTTCCTACAGTCGTAACCAATTGCATATATTTGAACCATCCATATGATATTTACAAATATTTTGTTAAATGGTCAATAGAGCGATAGACTAGTGTAGTATACAAACACCAAAAGATAATATGATCAGTTTTCATACCTCTTCTAGCTTATCACGAGGAGCATAAAATATGGATTCCACAGACAGCATTGCAACAGTTATCAACATCTCCTCCAAGCAGTTAAACTGACTGGCTAAAATAAGAGCTTTGGAATAAGCAGGGTCCAAGGGCAGTCGAGCCATTTGATGTCCAACTGGATCAGATAGTCGACAATCATCTGTTAGAGCACCTAACAGAAATAGCTGCTCCAAGGATTTTATAATAGCTGCCCTGTTCAAATGGGACAGGAACAAGCTTTAAGTGATATTTTGCAAGGTAAAAATACTTTTAGAAGTTACAGTAACAAATAAAGATCCCTTGAAAAAATTCTAATTCAGTTCTGTAGCATAATAATGTGACAGCATCAAAGAGAATCAAAATAAATTTAAATATTATAACTCACTACCGACTGATGCAAAGGAATAGATCACAAAATCACACACCACTAAATACATCTGGCTTTTTCACCCTTTTGCCCCTTATTAATTAATTAATAACCATTTTGCCCCTGATTCGAAACTATCTACCAATCTGCCCCTCTTTAATCGACTACCTTGCATTTTTAGTCGATTAGATGGTCAAAACAGGCAAAAATGGCTGTTGGGAGATTTAATCGACTAAATCTCCCTATTTAAATCTCCCTATTTAATCGACTAAATCTCCCAACAGACAACAAAGGAAAACAAGTCAGTATGATTTTTTAATCGATTAAGTAGGGAGATTTAGTCGATTAAATCTCCCAACAACTATTTAGTCGATTAAAAATTCAAGTTAGTCGATTAAAGAGGGGCAGATTGGTAGATAGTTTTGAATCAGGGGCAAAATGGTTATTAATTAATTAATGAGGGACAAAATGGTCAAATAGCCAAATACATCTGGTCAAACAAGTGTTTATTAACCTCCGATATTCTTCCAAAGAGTGGTCACTGGTCAGTTGTGAGTAATATACATCATAAGTGGAAAAAACTATATATATCATGACACAAACCAGTTTAATTCCCCAAGATAAACCAAAAAGGATCTGCTTCGGCCAAATACAATCTAATCTTATTGGTATTAATTTAAATAGTTCAGGCAGGGTTACTTTAATCTTACGGATACCAAATCAGAAAGGAAATGCCAGTATTATTTCTCATTACGTTTCCAAACTATGATCTGGGGTGAGTCATCCAAATGCAATGCATTCTATCATGTACAACATGTTATCAGTTACTCATCCTCTTCCTATTGTTTCACTTCCCTCAATTTCTCTGACGCTAGCAGAATGCTATTAAATGAAACATATATGTGTCAGAGATACAACTACCTTCTTATCTGCATTTAAAACATCTACCACTCATTTTGTAGTAACGGACTATAATTCATTTTCTTATTATTTGTTGGCTTAACAACTGAAAGCTTTTCATTATATAACAGAACTTCTTGGCCTAAACATGTTTGCTCCAATGGGTGTGAATGTTCTTGATAAAGTACAGTTTAAAAAATCTTATAGTTCTCAGGTTCATCGAGATTTATATTTACAGGTAAACTTTCTGGCACAAGTTCATGGTCCAAGCAAGATTTTGGTAGGAATAGTCTATAGATTCTTCTGAGTTATTTCATCAGTGTCTAAATATTCCTAAATGTATTTCTGCATTACTATATGCATCCTTTTTATTATTTTTCTTATTCTTTCTGTAAATGAATAATATATAGTCATGCCTTCTTCCTCAACCACTTTCTTTTTCAAGATAAAGAAAATTTGATTTAAAGGACTTAATGTTCAATTGGAATGTTATCTGAGTTAGGTCTAACAACAAGAAATCAAAGGTTAGTATATGGGTTGAAAGAATTTGCTCGGTAAAGAAATAATAGTATCATGTTAAGTGACATAAAAAAACCCCTCAAAAATAATTTTTTTTAAAACAAGCATCCAGCACATGCATATTTTAAAATATAAGCAACCAGAATTCATCAACAAAAAAGGAAAAAAGAAATATCCGCAAATATGCAAATGTCGGGAAGCTGCCTAATTCTGAAAAGATTCTCACTTGGAAGGTTTCTCAATGAAATCAAACCCTAAAATGTCGTCAACACCCAAAGCCTTAAGCTGCAAAATAACATTAGAAAGGTTGCATCGCTTAATCTCTGGCATTGTTGAATCCTCAAGTTTCTCGAATTCATTTTCTGGATATAGACGGAAACATTTTCCATGTCCTTCACGCCCTGCACGCCCACTAATACCAAAAAGTCAATAATCAATTTGCACTACTTTTCTAGTAAAAATGTAAAATCAATTTCAATATATACCAATTTCATTAAGAAAATTTGACTAAAATCAAATGTATGAAAAAATATCAATGATTAAAACTAAAATAAGATTTGAAAAGAAAATCTTTACATAAATCATAATTTAAGAAGCTATTATACAAAATAAACATGTTCAAAACTAATATTTCATGAAAAAGAAAATGATGCTTTACATTACAAGGTTTTTTTTGGGATTAAAAATGTTACAAGGTTTATAATCTTCTATATTCGCCTATAAACAAAATTAAAAAAGGCATGCATGTGCATGCACAAAAACCACATTCCATGAAACCCCAACTTGCAGGGGTAGGGGTGAGGGAAATCCTTGCATACAATCTTACCCTTGCACATGCATATATAGTAAACAAAAAAAGGAGATAAGTACTAGAAACATTAATTCTAGATTCGCATTGCAAAAATCCTCGTTACGCAATACCATTTTTTTTTTTTTTGAGGAAAAACAAAAGTGACCATTCCCAAACTGAAGTTGAAAAAAGAAAGGAAGTCATCCGAAGTTAAACTGAGCCAAACTTACTTGATTTTCATTAACTGAATTAATTCAACCAATATTTGCAGCAACAATTAAATAATAAACAGACTCAAAACATAATCCAGCACCATACCTTCTTTGCAGAGCCTGGGACTTGGATGTAGGTACTATAATCAAGGATTCCATGCCTTTGCCAGGGTCATAGGAAGGTGCTTTAACAAGTCCAGGATCAATTACATACTTGATTCCGGGAATCGTTACTGATGTCTCGGCAATATTAGTTGCCAATATCACCTTAGAAAAAAACAGAGTAACTTTAAATACAATTAAAAACATGTGATTACCTGATATGATAAAAATCTTATTTTAAAAATCATAAGCTCAAATCAAATAGGTGATGCTCAAATTGGAAATTAAATGGTCCTGGCAGACACCATTTTGTATATCCATGTACTATTTATAGGGATTATAGCTAGTTCAGATGATATAGTTCCTAAAGGAGAAGCAGTGTCGGTTGTGTGCAATAAAACATTAGAGGTAGTGGAGGAGATAGAAAAGACGGTAGCAGTTGCAGACCCTCTATGACAATTGATTATAGGGATTAATGTTTCTCCTGCAAAGAGGAGATAACTTTATCTCCTGCACATACATGGGAGTGGGTGGAGCCCTATGAGAAGAAGAGAGAGAAAGAGAAAAAATGGGTCCCACCCACTCCCATGTGTATGCAAGAGATAAAGTTATCTCCTGTTTATAAGAGAAATATTAATCCCTAGGTTATATGATGCTGGGTTCAGTAATGGCAGATTGTTAGTTGGTAATTGGTATACACAAATGCTAATAGCAATGTTTGGGTAAGTGTGACAGCTTGCAGAAGTGGTACAAATAGGGCACTACAATTTACAATCAAAGTGTCTAAGTCACTGCTACAAGCAGCAAATTACAATGTTGCAAAAAGAATTATGTTAGTGCTGACATCAAAGTTGGATCACGTTTTCAATGCAGAATGATGTGAGCATGGTAATGATAGTGGTAAGATAGTTTGTGTTATCAATCATGAATAAAAAGGTAAGATGCGCAGTATGGAAGTCTTACATGCCTAGGAGAAGTTCCAGTGATGAAATTTGCATATAAAAAATAAGCAATATGAAAGCATGTGCATATATCCTAAAATGCTGAGACTCTAAATGAGGCAATCAGCATTTACTTTAAATAGTAGACATGGGTAAACCTCGGCGCAGAAGGCTCAACTAACTTTGCAAGGATAGAGGTAAGGATCAATTGTACACAACTTTACCCTTGCATTTTTAGCAAAGGCGTTGTTTCCTAGTCTCAAACTTGTGACCTTTCAATCACAAAGGATCAACATTAATACTGCCTCAAGGCACGTCCTCTTTAAATTGAAGACATGATCAGACAAAAAATAGTGCTTCAAGAGAATGAATGGAAACCTAGACAAAACATGTCAACTGTTTAAAATAAATAATAACAATTTTGCAAATGATCAACTTAAACATATTTTCCCTAATTTTTTTATTGAATTCTACCCACAATTAATAAACTGATTAAAAGAAAGATCAAACGCATAGCTAGGATACCTTTCGAAACCCAGATGGAGCTGGTGCAAAGACCCGCATTTGCTGCTCAGCTGGAAGAGCTGCAAATATAGGCACAACTAGAAGCTTCTGACTTCCTTGAGGTAATTGTGTGAGTCGCTCATTGATAAGCCTTTCAGCTGATTCAATCTCTTCTTGCCCAGTCAGAAATACTAGTATATCACCAGGGTCCTCCTCTAAATGAATCTACAAAATCAAAGACATATGATTTTCAGCAACAATGTTATGAACTTTATTTCTCAGTAATCACTAGAATGTTATAAATCTACAATATATATAAGCAGCAGTATGCGGTATGCCTATATGACTGATGCACTGAACTAACAAGAATGAACAGAATGAGACACTGCATGAGATATGAAACTGTAAATACCATAAATATATATGCAGAAACAATGCATCAATTCTGATGCATTTTTAGGGTCCAAAGATCTCTAACAATAAAATAGAAGTTAAATTTCATTAATAAATTACATGGACTAATTAAACCAATGACCTGGAATGTTGTTATCAAGGCAGCATCTAAATAATCTGGCTCTGCATGGCGAGTATAAAATATATCCACAGGAAACTGTCTCCCTTGGATGTGAACAGCTTTGGCACCACCAAAGTACTCAGAGAAAGTGCGCGCATCAAGACTTGCAGACATGATGATTAACTTCAATGGAGCATACTTTTCGTGTTGGTCTTTTTTAAGAAAATGGCTACTCTGATCATTTTCTTTCCCCAATGACATGACACCATTCACATTCTTGTTTCCAAAATTAAGGTCCTGACCATCACGGACAGAATTTGCCCGAGCAAGTTGTACACTTTTTAGCAAGCCCAACAATACATCGGTGTGGACAGTCCTCTCATGTGCTTCATCAACAATTATAACAGAATACTTAGAAAGATATGGATCCAACAATGCTTCCCTGTAAGCCCAATGAAATGCCTATCAACTCTCCTATATAAAAAACTGTATTCACAAAATCATGGAAAAAAATATATTTTAATCTAAAACCTCCTTAGCTGCTTCGAATCATGTAACCATCCTAAACCCACGTCAACAAGAGGGGTATTTTGGGGGAAGTGGGGCATGGTTCGCCAGTCCTTGAATCCCATTGACTTAAAACAAAAAAAAAAAAAAACTTCACCCTAGGTAAAGTGATATAATATCTTCTGTAGTTTGGTATCAAGAAGGATATAAAATAAAATTATAGCATCACATTTTGATAAGCCAAGTTCCCAGTATAGTGTTCAAGTTGCAAAATTAATATTAATGGAAAAAGCAAACAAACAGTCCAAGTATCCAAGTTATGCAAAACTTGTACCTCAGAAGCAACCCATCTGTCATATATTTGATCCTTGTTGAGCTGGAAGTAGCATCATCAAATCTAACTGAGTACCCAACCTTTTGGCCCAACTCAACACCACACTCCTCAGCAACTCGTTTGGCCACAGTGATAGCAGCCACACGTCTAGGTTGAGTTATCCCAATAACTTTTCTATCACGGCAAAATCCAGCACCAAAAAGAAACTGTGGAATCTCTACACAGCACAACACAAGAGACGCAAAGAAAAGTGAAACCCAACCTCTATCCCTAAAATCCATTTTCTTTCTTTCTTTCTTTCTTTTTCCCCGAAAACTAAATTGCTAAGATAAAATGTAACCTACGTGTGGTTTTTCCACTTCCAGTTTCACCAACAATAATCAAAACATCATTCTTCCGCACCTCTTCAACCAGTCTTTTCTCAACTACAACATAAACAACGCAACAAAACAATATAAAAAAATAAAATAAAATAAAAATAAATATATAAATAAGCACATTCTGAATTAATACACCAAAAATCAAACTCAGGTCTCAGCCAATACCCGAAGCAATAGGAAGAGACTTCCTCTGTTGTGCAATCTTGTGTCTCCTACGCGAGAACGAGTTACGAATATTATCAAACCAAAAAACGCATTAAAACCCTATTTAAAAACATAATTAAACTTTTTATGAATTAGAATTTAAACCGGGCAGAGAATTCGGTTTGCCGATTCCGATTAGCATTGGAGAAGTTGCCAGTAGCTGTAGAGTGGTGACTTCCCTGAGCCACTGAAGGCATTGCTTCAGTGCCTGTAGAAGCACTTAATTAAATTTAATGCCTCTGTAGAAGCAGCTCCTTCTTAAAGTGCTCCAGTGCTTCTGCACGATGAAGGAACCTCGGCGACACTGCGACGGAACCTCGGCGACACTGCGACGGAACCACGGCGGAAGGCACGACCTCTGATCTGGGAGAATGTCTCTGATTTCCTTTTTCTTTTTCTCACAACCTCCTTCTATGTATCGAGTCTCTCTTACCTTCTACTATTATTATTATTATTATTATTATCATTATTACAGATTTAGGGTTTATCTTGCAACAGGATAACGACGTCGTTCTAGGTGATATTGAGAATATAATATATAAATAAGGTAGGCATGAAAAAAAAAATAAGTAGAATAATTTACGTCTTAAAAAAAAAACAAAAAAAACTCGATTATTTTCAATTATAACAAAATTAATGGAGAATGATGGATTCTTTAAAATAATAAAGCGTTAAATTAGTAAATAAATAGAAAAAATAATTAGTATAATTTTTTAAAATATTACTAATGAAAAAAATTAAATTGTCATTATAATTTAAATATGTCTCATATGAGATCAAATAGATATATTTCAGTATATGTTTTAAATTAAATAAAACATTAAATGCTTTATTTGTATGAAGTTAGAAAGTAATATGATATGCAATGTTGATATGATATTATAGATAACAATTGCTTGTGAACCTAAGGATAAAGTTAGTGGTGGAGTGTTCACATATACTAGATTTTGATTTATAGTCATGAAATTTTGCCAAAATTTTGAAAATAAATTGAAGTAATTCAGTCATTAAAATTGTAATTGGTTTGAAGAGTTTATCGATTCAAAGTTAATACATCAAATTAATTTTTAAAATGATAGTTATTTATTGACATTACCCAATCGATCATTCCGTTCACGGTCAAATTGTTCTACTAACAATGTGATTCAATTTCAAGAACACATATTTCTGTTGATATATGTAGTTATATAATAATGATGGGTTCGCTTTTTCTGCAGTTAAGTTACTGCAGATAGGTTATCTGCATAAGTCCAATACGATATCGTTTTGGGGTGAAAATCATGGTGTTTTTGTAATTTGAATTTATTTTAGGGTTATAATAGTCTTTATACTTATAATTTTTTAAGATTTCAATACCAAAATGACGTCGTTTTAGAAATAAATGTAGATAACTTATCTGCATTAACTGTAGAAATATTTTTCCCACTAATAATTAGAGTCTATGTTTCTTCTTTTTTATTAATCACATGAAATATTTCGGTCATTTATTCTCAAATCAATGATAAAAAATTTAAGTAATAATTTTTACTTCCTCATTTTAGGAACTTCTTCATTTAAATTGTTTGACTCGATCACTTATTTCTATAGTTTCTATCTGACACACTCGGGAGCACTTCTATCCATAGTCAACTACTCAGAGCCCGTTAGTTTCGCCTTTAAGAAAAAATAGTTTTTATTTTTTCTTTATTTTAAAAGTACTTTTTAAAAAAGTTAAATTTTTTTATATTTTTATAAAAAAAATTAATTTTTGAAAAAAAATATTTGTCTTCTGATTTCTGCTTTTTTTAGAAGTTAAAATTTTTAGCTTCTAAAAAATGTAAATTTTTGGCTTTTTTTTATAAAACTTAAAGTAAGAAGTGCTTCTTTTTTCTTAAAATAAGTAACTTTTGGAAGAAAAAAAAACTCATCCAAATGAGCTCTTATCACAAAGCAAACATGATAAAACATGCATTCATGATTGATTCATTCGCATTCATGAGGCCTTTATATAAGATCGTTTGAGTATAGATCTAATTTTAATTCAAAATTGACAAAAAAAACAATCTTACCATATAAAAAAGAATTAAGATTTGAGTAAATGATAATACATTACACAGTCCTATTCCTTTAATCATTATTTCAATTTTTTTTCCTGGCTATCTCAGCACTAACCACTTGTCCAAAGCAATTGCTTCTTGTTAATTTTATTTAGATAAGATTTCTGAAGTAATTATTTAGATTGTAAAAAGATAGGAAACCAAGGATAGATATGAGTGATTTGCAAACTTACGTAGAAGAAAAAACGAAGTAAAAGCTCCCCCACTTGCAAGAGTAAGACAAATGAATGGTGAAAAATACAAAGATATATACTTATTAAATGAAATAAACCTCAAGTGAGCAAAATTACATCAATAAATATCTTATGAAAAAAATAAGCTCACCAGTGGACAACGTACAAATTACTCTTTTTAGACATGTTTACGATCATTACTATCAACAATGGATAACAAAAGAGTAACCTAGTACTCTCAAAATTTTACTCCAAAATGCTATGCCTATAAAATAAAATAAAAAATGGGTTGATTAAAACAAAAAAAGAAAAAGAATTATGCTCTTCATGTAGCTATATCATGTAGAGTTTGATCTGCATGCATGATATAGTATTTAGCTGCAGCAAGGAACATACAACTGACAACCCCAATCTTAACCAACGACAAAGGACCCAACTTCTTTTTTTTCTTATTCGGTTTCAAACCTGAATCAAAATGTCGGGGCAAAGCTTGAGATGAAGTCTTCATAAAAGATGAGTAGGAATCAATTTCAGCTTTTGTTAATGCTGGTTTTAAAGAATTCTTCACAATCTGGAAATGACGGTCACAGACAACAGTAGCAGATATGTCTTCCCTTAGAGCTACAATTCCAGCTTCCTTGCATAACCCTTCCAGTTCAGCACCTGTGAAGAGCTCAGTATCTTCTGCTAGTCTTCTAAAATCAACATCTTTCCCTGTTTTCATCTTACGTGTATGCACACACAGTATCTCATATCGACCCTCCAAATCAGGTGGTGGCACATACAGTACCTACCATTTCACAAACATAGACTGGAGTGAGATAGAATATTTGACCAACCTCTTTAAACTTGCTATTAGTTCAACTGTTTTGAGAATATTTTCAATAATATTTTTCTAAGTGATTCGTGAAATTCTTTCATCATTGTGCAAGCACAAATCCTTGGTATATTTTAACTCTGTATAATTAAGTTGCAGACAAACTTTGTGTTTTAATGATAACACCATGAATCACAAGTATGGCTGTAAATACTATTTCGCACCAGATCAAAACGTCCAGGACGCATAAGTGCAGCATCAATTGCATAAGGGCGATTTGTAGCTGCCAAAACAAGAATTCCCTGGGAAAAAAAAATGGGGATTTAGTTAAAGGGCAAAAAGAAATCCAGTTTTATGCTTCTTTTTTTCTTTTTTTTGATAAAAGGTTTCATTGTTAGATGAAAGAAGATAGTGTGGGAGAATAAAATGTCCTCCTTAAAATGAACAAGAAATAGGTAGACTAACTTTAGCTTCTTCTAAGCCATCAATCTCAGTCAGCAGAGTGGATAAAAGCCTCTCTCCAACCGTAGCACTATTGCTTGAACTATCACCCCTGCAATTAAGAGAAAATTACGAACATAACTTCTTATGGACTAAACACATAAAAAAAAAAATAATAATCCTGCTTCCATCTCACAAACCATAGAAGTATTTGCATCAAGGAAGTCAATATTGAGCTTTAGATGCACCAAACATTTTAAATAAAAAATTTACAAAAAACACGGTTCAGTTTACATGGTTAGATGCAATCTCGCTTTATGGGATGGTAGATGTTATAACTACCAATGAGACTAATCATTGAGATCCACCTCACTTAGGTGTACTGCTCTGCATAAAAAATTTGTGCAGAACAGCATTTTCCTTATGTCAAACAATTGTAAACTGATCATAAAAATCTTTCAATAGGTAAGAGGCATGATATTTAGCATTATTTTCCACAATATAAATCTCATACAAAGAAAGCTTACTAACCGTTTGACAGCTACCACGTCAGCCTCATCAAAGAATATTATACTGGGTGCTGCAAGCCGCGCTCTTTGAAATGTTTTACGAAGCAAAGCTTCCCCCTCTCCAACATACATTGAATACAACTCTGCACCACTGCCTCATCATTTATTACACTTACTTTTTTCCATAATTTGAAAATCAGTTTTGTATAGGAACTGAGTAGCAAGATGTAAAGAAAAAATATATATAATCACAGAGATCAGAAAGTTATAGAACTGTAGAACTAGAAATCTAGAACATATCACAGCATAACGTCTATTCGAAATATAATATAAAATCATTCATGTGCCTTCATCTGACAGCTTAAACTTTTAGGAGAGTTAGTTGCATAACATGATATTAGAGCCTCTCTAACAAAGTGGTCCAGAGTTTAATCATTGCCGCCCTCATTCTTCTAATAGTCTTCTAATAAATTAATATTGTGGGATTTCTTAGCATAAGTAGGTGGGATATTATCCACCCTTCAAACTCAATGGGCTCTTGTATAAAGGGTGTGTTAGAAATATAAAATAAAAACATTTATGTGCCTTCACCTAACAGCCTAAGCTTTTAGGATAGTTGATTGGATGATACAATAGGGCAAAGGGCAAATCCCGGTGCACAAGGCTCCTCAACTTGCAAGGGTAGGGATGAGGGTCGATTGTACACAGTCTTACCCTTGTATTTTTGCAAAGAGATTGTTTCCCAGACTCGAGCCCATGACCTTCCGATCACAAGGAGCAACCTTATTGCTGCTTCTAGGCTCGCCCCTCTAGATTGCATGACACAATGATGCAGATAATAATACAAGTGCCATCTATCAGCATAATGGGTGGGAGCATGGTTGTTGAATCGCAATACGTATCGTGAATCGTTCGGCTGCTTTTTTGTATCGTGAATCGTATCGAATCGTAAGATTCAGAAACAAATTAAAAATAACTTAAAAATATATAATATCATATAAATTCAAATTAGAAAAAATCTAAATACCAAAATCCATAAGTAACCAAAGGCCTTGATCTTGGTTTTATAGGAAATTTGGCATTTTAGAGAATCCAATAACATTGTTTGATCGGATGACCCCACTGAGTGAAATAAAGCCTGGTTGTTCATATATATTTCATATCCATTCAATATCCAACACAATTCAAATCAAGGACCAAGGCCAACTTCAGGGCTATAAAAAAAATAGATGCCAATCAATACACACCTAGTCCAACCTGGTTTGAAATGTGTACGTGTCTTATAAATAGAAACAATAATCTATTTATAAGACACATCCTCTCATGCATTTTAAATTGAGAACACATTGCAGCTTTTTCATAATATTATAATAATATATTAATATATGTATTCCTCTGATCCTCCCATCACTATAATATTTAAATTTATTTACAATTTACAAATTCCAATCACAAACCCATTTCAAAAATAGTACCCGTCTGTTTCAAAACAAAAAAAAAATAGTACCCGTACGGCCGTTCTCCTCTGCAAGTCTTCTTCTGCACGTTCTCCTCTGCAAGTCTTCTTCGTCTTCTTCTACACGCTCTTCTCCTCTGCAAGTCTTCTTCTACACATAGTCTCTCCTCTGAAATTTCTGTTTCGCTGCTTCTTGTTTTTTAATTTCTGTTTCAATTTCGTTGTTTCGTTGCTTTTTCAATTTCTGAAATTTCTGTTTCGCTCCTTTTGTTTTTTAAATGGGATTTTGAATCCCTGATTTTTCTGAAGCAACCTTTCATATAACAAGTAACAACATGCCGTTCCAAGCGACTGTTGAGTGTTTTTTTTTTAAAGCGACGGTTGAGTTTTTTTTATTTTATTTTTTATATTTTGAATCGCAAATGTAATTTCGATTCACGATTCGGTTGCGAATCGTTCGATTCTACGATTCCAACCCACGATTCATACCAAAAACGATTCATTATTGCGATCTGTATCGATTTGGGTTAGTATCGTATCGTATCGCACGATACGTATCGCGTATCGTGCGATACTAACAACCATGGGTGGGAGATAACAGAGGCAAAACAGTTGAACTAACAGGTTTCAAAATAGCATCCAATAATCTAGTGACATCCGTTTATTCATTTGTGAAAGACAACTTATTTTGTTGGATTCCAAACCAACTTAGTTTTAATACTTTGGCATGTATGACCCTACAAGTGATTTTTTTTTAATACAAAAGCCATGTATCTTAGAATCTCAACTTGAACAGGACAGCATCATTTTAAGAGAAAGATACAAAAAAATTGTGAGGAAAGTTTGGGGAGTCCTGGAGAGGGTTCTAGTACAATTGGACTTGTGTCGTTCTCTCCTTAAAATGACTGTCACTTTCCTAAGGAAAAGGGAAGGATTTATTCCATCTTAGCCATAAACTTCAGTCAAATCATGCCAAGACTCTCCCACACCGCAAGGATAATATTATTCATACCTCAAGGAAAAGAAAGAAGCTTGGGCAGCATGTGCAGCAGCTTTGGCAAGGGTAGTTTTGGAACATCCTGGAGGCCCATGGAGAAGAATTCCACGAACAGGGGATATTCCCAATCTTGAAAATGCAGCAGAATGCTTAATAGGCCATTCAACAGCTTTCTGGAGCTTTTTCTGTTCAAAAATAAGCACATATATCACTCACTTCTGAGATTCTCAGAGGGAAATCAAATGCAAAATTTACAAACCTTCAATTCTTTTAATCCCCCGATGTCTTCCCAAGTCACTTTGGGAATTTCCACCGTAACACCTCTTGTTATACTTGGACCAACAACAGACCTTGCTTTCTTCCAATCTTCCATTGTTAAACTGAAAATACTAGCATCTTCATTTGTATTTGAGGACCTCTCAACTGCAAAGATGGTAGCTTCACGACACAAAGCTTCCAAATCAGCTCCAACATACCCATTGCATGATGCAGCAATGGATTTTAAGTCAAGACTGGGATCCAAGGGAATCTTCTTTGTATACAGCTAAAATGAGTTAAAATAAAGACCACATAAATTCATGCTGCAAAACTTCATCAATCCAGAATTTTATAAAACAAGCAAAATGATAAAAACAAAAATGAAAGATTGACTTTTCTTACTAAAAAATTGGCCATAGAAATTACGCAAACAAATTTGAAAAGTTATGTTACTGTCAAGCAACAAATCATCCTAAATGCTTAAGATGTTAGGTGGAAGCCGGTGAATGATTTTATATATGTAACACACATCCTCACAAAAGAGCCCTTTGCTTTGAAGAGTGGATAATACACGAGCCCACTTTATCTAGTCCTAAAATATGATTTAATTATGATGAATGGAGACAACAAGGCTTGAACTCATGACTACTTGATTGTAGAGACTTTGATATCATCTCAAAAAACAAATCATTCTAGAGACTTTGATATATCTCTGGCAGTTACCATTAGAATTTGAAAGCGCTCCTCTTCATTTGGGACAGTAACTTCAATTTCAGCATCAAATCGTCCATACCTTCTTAAGGCAGGGTCAATTGCATCCACTCTGCATGCGCAGAAACCAGACTTATGAATTCAACAGAGAGAAAGTACTCAAAGAATTAAGATAAATAAGGTGTAGGTGAACAGTTTTAATCAGTGCTTAAAGATGACCTGTATCATATGATAAAAGCCACAGGTTTTAAGAAACCAGATAAGCACAGAAGATAAATTTACAGGTTCCAGACAACAACCAGAAATAGATAATCAAAGGTATGGAAGAATATGTAATAACAGCACCCCACTCTTTATAGTCCAACAACTTCACCACTCATTGCTCTTATTAATCCATCAGGATAAGTAAACAATTTAAAACACTTGATGGATAAACATTCTTGTGCCAACCATCACATATTAGGATGATGATGAAACAATCAGCTAAAGTTACACAATAAATTACATACAGCATGATACATTCTTCGAACCCATGATATAAAAACTTTAAACTTGCAACATCAGATTTCTAATCAAAGTGTACAGGTTAGAAAGAAGACGGACATGAAATAAAAAAAGATTACAGTGTGTAAAAATTGAATTGGATAAGAGAACCTATCATTTCCATTTCTATAAATTCATAAATAATCTTTGGGATCACAATAGGTAACCTGTTAGTTGATGCAACCACAACTACCCCTGGTGTAGAAGAGGTTGGTTTATTTGAGTCCATCAGTTTAAAGAGTTGGGAGGCAACTCGGACATCTTGCTCCCTTCTGCATGTAGATATGAAATAATGGCATCAATAAGATTGCCGCATTCATAAATTAATTCTTTCTAAATTCAAAAGAATACATTAGAGCAACAGACCCAGATATTTCCCTTTATAGTATGAAGGCACAAAAGAAATAACATACAATACCATAATACGACAAAAGTTCAACACTGATAATTTGATAGAACTGGACCAGAAATAACAGAATAACACGGTATTATAACTGATATCAGTATCAGTGATAGGTTTCTACAGAATTAGTAGAACTCCTCTTCCATCAGTAAAGAACAGAAACACAGAAACAAAATATATACAATGTCCCAGGCAGCTCAAGAAGCCTTTTCTCTCCCAAGTCCCACCCTGTCACAATCTATTCCTCCCCCTTCTCTCTCTCCTATTTTCTCTTTTTATCCTGCTACTAACTAATATTCTCTGCCCTCTCACATTCTCTGCCACAGGGATAGGAGGTTATCCCCCCACTCACACCCCCATTATTTCATAATAACTCCTATGGGTCTGATCCCCTACATTCCTCCCAACCTTGCTAATCATGGATCTAGCTGTGGGCTTATTAACATAATTATCATATTGGAGCAATTACTTTCACAAGTAAATATAACACAATTAAAGAAGTTGATTGTAAAAAAATAAACAAAAAGTAAATAAAATAAACAAGTTGAGAGTTGTTACTAAATGATCTCTATGCCTGATATTAATACTTCTTGTGAAAGATGATCATATTCACAAGTTAGCATATAACAACTTAAAATCAAACCTTACAGTTCATATTTCTAAACAAACAAAAGCAACATATAACTTGACAAAGCCTAAAAAGCCAAGTGTAAAGCTGTGATGTTGTGGATTCAGCTAAGCAGCACCTGGTATCGATCTGATAACTTCCCTTCAAAAGAGATTGGCAAAGAAATTCTTTCTATCACCACTTAATAAACTAGACTGGGATCATCCCAACTCTAGCCCAATTAATGTTAATGACCACTTAGGAAAAATTATTCAGAAAATTTAAGGATTTTAAACTTTTATCAGGTAAATGATATTGAATATCACAGAGAATCAATGACAAATTTTTACCAAAAAGTATATATTAAAAAAATTGATGACAAAATTTACAGCCTAGTCAAAAAGTAGTTATTTTATCTTAAAGGACATATACACATTGTTCTAACAAAACCGATTGGATTTTTGTTCATACCTCTGATCATTTCAAAATTTCAAACAAAACGAGACTCAGTCATCTTTGTCAAATTAATGGAAATACAATATGAACCATCTAAAGAGGGATAAAATCACCAAGTCCTATATTCATTCTAAATAGAAGAATGGAAGTTCAAATACTCTGATAAGCACCCAAAACAAAAAAGAAACAGTGTGATTGATATTATAAACTTATCAATGAAGTGGTATCAAAATGAAACCTGCAACCTTTTGACAATACTCTACAAACCTACACGCTACAACACACCCTTCCAAATAATTTCAAAGTAATATATTCGGGCAATACATAGACCTAACAGTTCTCTCAAAGGAGACTTTTTTTCATAATACATTTTCTCTCATATCATAAAATAGTGTTCCCAATTATATTGATCCTATTAAAAAGAATTGAGACAGAATAAACAAAAGCAAAAGCATTTAGGCATTAAGCATAAAAGTAATCAATTGTCACATACTTGGAATCTCGACGGGGACAGAGTGCATCTATTTCATCAATATAGATCACTGATGGTTTGCCCAAGGCTGCATGAGATGATGCCTCTGAAAATGCTTCACGGAGAATTCTCTCACTTTCACCAGCATGTGGTCTATGAACAGAGTATGGACTGCCAAATACATAAAAACATAAACAATAACAAGCAATTGATTCATGTCAAGAACTTCAAAACACAATATCCACACAAACTAGACATTGAAAAAGACAAGTACTTTATAATTGTCAAATGTGCCTCGCATTCCCGAACAACTGCTCGTACCAAACTTGTCTACATTCACATTCATAAAAATATTACTAATTTTAAATTTGATAAACAAAGCAAAACCTAAGTTTGGGTAAGGAATTACCTTCCCCGTGCCTGGTGGACCGTACAGCAACAACCCTCTTGGCCACTGGAAGCGAAACCCAATAAGAAAAAGGCGTTTTTTTTAAGGTTAGAAAGAACAAGACACTCATGGTTAAAATGATCAATAAGTTCAAAGAGAAAGGGGAAAAAAAAAAAACGAACTTTGATGCCAAGCTTGTGTGCATGGTGAGAGAAGTGGAGAGGGAATATGATGAGTTCTCTGAGGGTTTGAAGAGCTTTAGCGTTGCCACCAATGGCTTCCTCAGCTCTCCACTGGTTGTTGTTGTTGTTGTTGTTGCTGCTCATGCAGCTTTCCATCTCGACATACATAGCAAAGAACAATGGTTGAGACAAGGGAGAAGATACTCGGCTTAGAAAGCGACAACCCGACCCGGAACAGGTCCCTCACTGGTTTATTATAAAGAAAAGATAGAAAAAAAATTAGTGGAATCACTCCCGTATGTAAATAAATTAAGTTGGGCTAGGCTTCGACAATAATATGTTACTATAAAATACTTTATATATGCCGTAATCTATTAGCCTAGGTCTAATTCTAAGTATACTGAGGTTTATATTTAAAAAATAAAAATATTAACCTAAGTTTATTAGCCTGTTTAGATTTATTAGTCATTCAATAATTAAAAAAATAATTAAAATAATATTATTATATTATTGAAAATTATTAAAATAGTAATTTATTATAAATAAATAATATAATATAAGTCTGTAAAAAAAAATCAATGATTTACTTTTTAAATATGCTTTTTTTTCTAGCTTGAGTTATTTCTATTTGATAATATATAATATGTTTATTTTGACTTAATGTAGGTCGAGTTGTAAATTCTTGTTAGGCCGTCCTTGTTAGGCCGATTAGTATATTTTTTTATTTTATTTTATTTTTTTTGTAAATTCCGATTAGTATATTTACACATTACGAATCACTCACTCTTATATGAGTGTGATATAAAATACAAACATTGAACCATATCCTTATTATAAATGGATCGAGCTAAATTATGTTTGTAATTAATTAGTCAAAAAATATTTTTCGAGTAAACCGGGTTGATCAATTTTCTAAAATGGATTGAACACACCGCCCAACCCGGCTAAATACTAAGTGCTTTGGAAGGAACGGATCAATTAAAAAATAATAAAAATAAATATTAAAAGCCAAAACTATTTACGTGTTTGAATAATGGTTTTAATGTTTCTATAATTAACGTAAATAAATTATCTAAATTCACTTCCAAAACAATATTATTTTGAGTTGAAAAATTTAAAAATTATAATAAGAAATATTATTATAACATTAAAATAAATTATAATTACAAAAATACTTTGATTTTTGTCCTAAAACGACATCGTTTTAGGCTCAATGTAAATATGTTATCTACATTAATTGCAAAAAAAAATGAACCCTTGAATAATAATCAAAAAATATTTTTGATTGAATACTAAAATAATATAATTCTTTTAATTTATAAAACTATTAAAAATTATGTAAAAGTGAAAATATGCATATTAGAATTTTGGCTTGAAGGTAAAATTAGATTGCGAAGCAATTGCATTAAATATTGGGTCCTCCCTCCAACACTTGACAAAAATCTTAGTTAAAAAAAAAAAGCCCTTTTCCGAAAGATATCAAATTCGCTCAATCTCTCTATATATGAATAAACACTTCGTCAACTCAAATCTCATGATATCTCAATAGAATTACTCTATACTAGAGGTGTGCATGAAGCGGTTCGGTTCGGTTATTGTCAAAAATCGAACTAAACCAGTTTTAAATGGTTTGGATTTTAAACCAAAACACTTTTATTTTTAAAAAATCAGTTTTTAATTTGTCCAAACCGGTTTAAAACCGGTTTGTAGTTCATAACCGGTTTTAATTCAAAACCGGTTATAAACCACAAAGCTGGGTTGGCTCGGGTAGGCAGCTCATTTTTGCCAACCCAACCTGGCTCATTTTTGGCGGGTTACGAGCCAACCCGACGGGTTAGCTCGTTTTTGTCAACCCTACCTCAAACTTAGTAGGCTCACAAGGATAAAACAAATATGGTTCATTTTTTCATTTATCATTGAGGAATCTTATTCACTTATATATACTATAACGGAGGAGAATGGATTCTCTTATGTAAAAAATGGTCATTTTATTTGATCACAATCACTCATTAATGATGAGATAAAAGAGATAAAAATGTATAATATTTTTTTTTTTTAACAAAATGTATAATATTTAAATGAGTGTTTATGATCAAATAACATAATCACATGACCACTTTTCCACATGAAAGTATCCACTCCGACAAGAGAGAAACCTTTCATCATTTACAGAGTTGTCGTGTTGCTAAAATTTGTCGACATCAAGCAATCAAACACATGATTGTAAAATAGAAAATAGATTGTGGAAGAAAGAATTGAGACATATTTATCCTATATTAATAATATTTCACTATATTCTCCGCACCTCACTCGTTACAAAACACGCAATTTACAAGATGAATATAAATATACTTAAAAACTCTAAACAACAGTAGTTATTTATAAGCTCAAACTTAAACTATTGAAAAATAAACAAGATAAAATAAACTTAAGGCCCACAACAATACCGGCCTCCGCAATCTCGGAGCATTTCCCTTATATCCCCATTGACTTTCTTTACGTTCCGTGAATAAAATGTCATCTAAATGTGAAGTAAAAGTCATACCGTATAAAATCACTCCATATAAAGCCACCGTATGAAACACTTTCTCCTTTAGTCTCAATCCTTCCTCCACTTGAAATATATTTATGGTAACTTTCCATTGAATTTAGGTTTATATATCTACTTCATATATCACTATTACATTAACATACTACACCATTTTCAAAGAAACAACATATTCATTTTCATGAATAAATCTTTGGTGCTACTGTTGCACCAAAGATTCAGACATTCCACCAATAGAAATATTATATGTCAGTTAAATTTTCTTTTCTATGCCGAATTTCTTCTCTCTCCTATGATGTGTAATACTCTCATTGGTGAGATGCACTGAATCTTGATGCAATAGTAGCACCAAAAATTTATTCCATTTTCATCATCCCAAACAGTTATATTATGCAATGTCAAAGAGTTTAGCTTCACAAAAAGACACCCGAATGGTAGGTTTTATTCTTAGATCACAAAGTTTGTGCTATGGGGATGATAATAAGCAAAATTATAAAAAAGCAGCGCATCTTTTAGGATTTTGGTTACATAATTCTCTTATTAAGTTCAGAAATTGTAAATATTTAAAAAAAAAAAAAAGTTCTTATTTTCCGTGTAGTCGCCTTTGATGAAACACAGAATTTAGTTAAGGTGTATATAAGTTGGTTTGAACATTATTAACTTATACAAAAAAAAAATAATGTTAACGTTATGTAATTTTATAAATTTTTTTGGGGTTAATATTTATTATGTTGAAAGAGATAATATTATCTCTTACACACGCATAAAAATTTATGGAGCCATATGTAGAAAAGAGAAAAAAAAAAAATATGGACTCAAAAAACTTATATATATATATATATATATATATATATATATAAAGATAAAAAAAAAACATTATTACCTTATTTTGATTGGAAACTTTTTTTAATAATTAAAATCGGTTGCATTTGATATACAAAAAAAAAAAAAAAAATCGGTTGCATTTGTCTGTGTTACGGCTATCCTTTCTCTAGTTCAAGCTGGGCTTTTGACGTCAACGCCCAGGTGCAAACCTTACTTGGGCCTTATTTTGAGAAAAGAAGGTTAATTCTAGTAATAATTTTTTTTTTTTTTTTTTTTTTTTTTTTTGTATAACTACTAAAAAATGCAAATAAAATTACTCATAAAATTACAAACCCTCAAACAGTGGCGGTAGGACCCACTAGTGGGAGCCATCAGGTGGGCTATTCCTCCGAGTCTATGACATACTTTTTTTTGTTTTTTGTTTTTTTTTGTAATATATGACAGACTTTTTATATGAAGCTAATCATTGCTCTATTTTGATATTGCTATATTTGCCAACCCAAATAAATTCCTCCTTTATAATAATTTTTTTTATAGTAGGATAAAATTAACATAAAGTCAGATTTATGATGGATTATTTGTGGTTATTTATTTAATATTGAATTTAAAAATGTATACATATTATAATTATAAACCATGTTTTAAATAATAAATATATAATCATATATGAGAATTACGTTAAATCTAAGTATAATTTAACATTTTTTTAAAAAAAATAACCACATACTTTGATCTTTGAAAATATAAGTAATAGTATATTAATTTTTCATGTATTGATTTCTTTAAAATAATTTTTGTAATAATAATTAATATTACCAGTTGGTCTTTGAAAGACTAATCTAACATCTTTTTAAGACCTAATTTAATAATAAGATATGATATCATAGACTACCGATTTGATAATATAATAATAGTATTTGGGCATGTCTTAAGAAAGTGAACATTATTTAATCAGACTTTGTCACATTGATTTGTATGGGATTCAGAGTCATGAAATGAAAGGATCCTCACCGTTGGTTGCAAGTGGCTGGCCTACGTGGGTAATGTTATCATTCACCTGCATCGGGTCCCTCAACGACGTCGTATTTGCCGCCCAAACAAAACTTTTATTATTCCAAAACGCTAACAAAGGTGACACGTGCGTGTTATGACATAAGCACGCTGGCTCGAAGCGACGCGAAGGGTCGCTCTCTGCGGTTGTGATTGATGTACGTGCTACAGAACACTCTACCCTCACCCATGCTGACACGTGTCAGCTTGTGTTTATCAAACACGTGGCATCCCCACGTACACCAGTCTTTTTATATGTCCTTTGTTTTTTTCTTTCGAAATACTTATTATTTTTTTAAGTAAAAATAAGTGCAACTTGGTGAGTGGGTCCCGCTTCATGATGACGCTTTCTTTTTCTTAAGGTATGCAGCTTTATTTGGGACCAGGTGACGTGTCTCACGCTCCTCTTTCTTCACTCTTTCACCCGGTCACCCACAAGGTCACAAGTACCACCACTATTCAGTAGGGGTGTTTGTGGTCTGAATTAGATCGGTTTTGGAAGTAAAACTCATCCGATCCAATCCTTTCGGTTTGATCATGTAATCATCCATTCGGTTTAGATTTTTTTTCAAATCCGATCCGATCCAATCCAATTTTTTTCGGTTTGGATTGGATCGGTTTTCGGTTTTTTGAATATCCTAAAATTAGTTTCGTGATTATTGTGCAAATAACATCTTTTGTATATATTGACTTTGTAAAATAAAATAAAATTGAAATACAAAAATATCAGTAAACAATACTATAGTAGATGAGAGGTGACTAAGTTTTTTTTGGGGTTTAATTGATGAGTTAATGGGTCTTGA